GCAAACAAGCAGGCAGGCAGGCAGGCAGGCAGGCAGGCAGGCTGGATATGGCAGGCAGAGAGGGAGGCAGGCTGGATGGCAGGCAGACAGGGAGGCAAGCTGGATGGCAGGCAGAGAGGGAGGCAGGCTGGATGGCAAACAGAGAGGGAGGCAGGCTGGATAGCAGGCAGAGAGGTAGGCAGGCTAGATGGCAGGCAGAGAGGAAGGCAGGCTGGATGGCAGGCAGAGAGGGAGGCAGGCTGGATGGCAGGCAGAGAGGGAGGCAGGCTGGATGGCAGGCAGAGAGGGAGGCAGGCTGGATGGCAAACAGAGAGGGAGGCAGGCTGGATAGAAGGCAGAGAGTTAGGCAGGCTGGATGGCAGGCAGAGAGGAAGGCAGGCTGGATGGCAGGCAGAGAGGGAGGCAGGCTGGATGGCAGGCAGAGAGGGAGGCAGGCTGGATGGCAGGCAGAGAGGGAGGCAGGCTGGATGGCAGGCAGAGGGAGGCAGGCTGGATAGCAGGCAGGCTGGATGGAGCAGCAGAGAGGGAGGCAGGCTGGCAGGCAAGCAGGGAGGCAGGGATAGTCACACGGTTGAACTGCATAACCTTTAAGAGAGAGTATGGGATGTAGGGGAGGGGGGTTTGTCAGCGGTGGGAGAGAGACTGGCTCACTCCCGTAGATAAGCCTAACACACTCGACCCGTTAGCAGGATGGCAGGGAGGGAGGCAGGAAGAGAGTGAGGCAGGCAGGCTGGCTGGCTGGCAGGCTGGCTGGCAGGCTGGCTGGCTGGCTGGCTGGCTGGCTGGCTGGCAGGATGTTCCTGCAGGCTGGCTGGCAGGATGAGCCTGCAGGCTGGCAGGATGTTCCAGCAGGCTGGCTGGCAGGCTGGCTGGCAGGCTGGCTGGCTGGCAGGCTGGCTGGCAGGCAGGCTGGCTGGCTGGCTGGCTGGCAGGCAGGCTGGCTGGCTGGCTGGCTGGCAGGCAGGCTGGCTGGCTGGCAGGCAGGCAGGCAGGCAAGCAGGCAGGCAGGCAGGCTGGCTGGCTGGCTGGCTGGCTGGCAGGCAGGCTGGCTGGCTGGCAGGATATTCCTGCAGGCTGGCAGGAAACATCCAGAGGATGTTTGCCAGACGTCTTAATAATCAGCTAGGAACAATTAAGAACTTTTATAAAGCGGATCAGGACTTCACTTATTGGTGAGTACAAACAAAATATGGTTGCATTTATGCTATGAACCTGGCGCTTTTTCCCCCTAGAGTTTTTCATACCTTTTTTTTTACAGTTCTTGTTGTTTTTTTCCCCTCTATTTCTCGTTTACGAACTTACTTGTTAACCAATGGGTCTCGTCCCCAAGGGGTTCGGAAACCAAGTGGTGCTCTGTACATATCCATTCAGCCTGGATAGCTCCGGGAAGCCTCCGGGACTCACCCAGAAAATGGCGTTTCATTACATTCAATGCTGGTTTTTTGCGAGACTTCCCTGCCCAATTGCACCCAAAATATGCCACCTACGATTTTTTTTATTATTTTTCCTGTGATTAGGGATTGTAAAAGAACACTTTTATAAGACGAAATATTTTTGTTATTATTTCTTACACCTGGGCGTGTTGCAAGCTATAATTGCAAGAGCAGCCCAGGACCTAGATTCACGAAGCTCCATGTATTTCTTTGTAAGTAGGTTTGCTACGAAGGTTCCTAAGTATGCCCTAAGAAGATGCGTAGGTGCGATTCAGGTAGGGAAACTTAGGAAGGTATTGGGGTTTTGGGTCTGGTTCACCTGCGTGCCGACAGAGGTCACTACTGTGTTTCGTTTGGCCAATCAGAGAGCAGGCAACATTCTTCATATTGAAGATTTAGCGCTGGCTTATCAGAGCTCTACTGCCTCCTATTTACGTCGATTTTTTTTATAAAATTAGTATATTTCGTAGTAAAACTATGTTTTTTCAACTTCTACAGCTAGCACCAACATTGTAGTAAACAAATATGTTACATTTGTTGTTTACCTACGTAATTCTAAGAGATACTGTATAGCTGTCCTTGTTGCTTGGAAGATGTGCTGACAATTATTGTACATATTTACTGAATTTGCCCAAGGGCCACTAACTATCTAGTGGCCTCGACGAAAACAGAAAGCAGGCGGCTTGTTAAAGGGCCCTGCCAATTGTCTTAATGATATTTTTTTGCTGGAATTTGGCATTTACAGCTTCAGCGGGTAGGCGGTTCCATGCGTTTATAACCCTCTTGGTGGAAAAAAACATATGTTTTCAGTCCTACTTGAGAAAACATACTCTCCAACATTATATCTGTGATTGCCCTGTTATCTGTGACTTTATACCAAATGGTATGAGGTACTTTGAGCTCTGTAATTACTTCATATTCAGGAATATTGGAAGATATTCTTGTGCTGCACCCAGATTTTACCAGTTGAGGCTAAAAGATCAACCTTAAGTATTTTGTTCTCTCCTGATTCCATGTATGACTGTCCGTCCTGTGAGATGAGGATGTTGGATGAGCTTGTAGCTGGCCGTTTTGATCTACACTGTGTGGTCCTTCATACAGAATAGGGAAACAGCACATTACTGTGTATACCTAAGCATGTTAAAAAATACATTGTTTGAGAGGAATCTCATAGAAACTGGTAAGAGTAATTACATTATACTGTAATGTTTCCATGATTCAGTGCTTACCTCTTGTGAAAATCGTGAAGTTGTTGTTTATTCAGAGTTGATTTGTTTTTTGTATTGAGGCTGGTATTTTCTTCCATGATTCCATGTATGCCTAACCATCCTGTGAGATGGGAGTATTAGATAAACTTATAGCTAGTTTTTTATTTACACTCTGTAATATTCCATATAGAATAGGGTAGCAGCACATTGCTGTGTATACCTAAGCTTCTTAATAAAAAAATCAGTAACAAAGATTTTAGATTATAGTTTGCATTATTTCAAGTATTATCCTTATTAAATCATGTTAACCATGGATCATTAAGATCTCATGTTGATATGTAATAGTCATATTTCTTTTGAATCATTCATTAAATTGTGCATTGTCTAAATTTTTCACGTCCTTAGATATACTGTACAGCACAAAAAGATAGGATAAAAATCAACCAGTAATATTTCTTTCATTATATTTTTTATTTAAATAACTGCATCAATATTTTTACAGCTGACAGAATATGTTTTACCATACAGGTGCATTATTTGTTAAAAAAAAATTTGGTTTAGTGTTACACACAATGGTGCTACATAGCCTTCCCAGCTTGGTGCCTTCTTTTAATACTTACTAATTAATAAATAAATATTAATAAATAAATTTTATTCAGGAAAAGTACATAGATAGTTGATTTACAAACATAATATTGGATTTATAGACAGAGCTAGTACATACAATACCTAAAGTCACTAATACTCATAGCATTTCAGGCAAGGTGTAGGGGAAAAAACACTTAGACTAAAACTTAATAGTAATTGGGATTAGGTATAAATTGTGTTGAAAGAAGGAATAAAAAGTAAAAAAATGGGTGGAACATAGCAGAAATCAGCAATTGTACATGTTGGTGAACAAACAGCATTTTATAAAAAATAGCAAGATATGGGTTGACATTTAGGAGGTAAGGTAGGTTACATAGAGTTAATTAGGTAGAACTTGATTTTACTCTTAAACTGGTTGAGAGAGGTACAGCCTTTGACATGATTCTGGAGGTCATTCCACATTCTGGGTCCCTTGATTTGTAGAGCACTTCTAGTTTGGTTACACGCAGCCAAATTGTGTAACAGGAAGAGGTCTTGGACACAAATTTGTTCCATGCTAAATGTAGAGGAATCAGCTGAGTATTCCTCAAATAATGGCTGCCTCAGCTTATAAGGTAAATAAAATATGCATTCCTCAAATAAGTAGCTGCCTCACCTCACTGCCTTACTGCTACATACCCTTCCCGGCATGGTGCCTTCTTTTGATAATTACTTGTTCCACACCCAAGTTGTGTAACAGGAAGAGGTCTTGGACTCCTACTTCCCTCTCTCTTTTTTAATAGTCCATATAGTCATAATTATGGCTTTAAGTATTCAATGAGAAAAGTTTTTGAAGCTTTTATCCTTCTCCTTACCTAACATCATTTGTGCAGCATATTTAAATTTTATGTCTCACCCAAATTTAATTTCAAATAAAACCAAGCCAACTAAATTAAAACTGTGTATGTATAGCTAAGGTATACCCTTACTGATTACTAGGTGAACAGGGGCATTTGGTGATAGTAAATGCTCCAATCAGGCAGGGCTCATCACCTCTCATATTTCATGTTCACCAGTGTTTATTTACTTAATAACTACTGGTATAATATCTTGCTATTACAAAACTAATTCTACTATCATAAAAGACATATTTACTTCAAGTTTCAAGCAGAGAATGCATATATAACTAACACGAAGGACTCCTCTTCGCGAGATTCGCCAACTAATAATCTTTTGTTTATATTAAAATCTTAAAATCAATCCCAGTGTTGTGTAGTAGAAAAAATTGAGTTATATCCAGTATACGTAAAGTTACAAGTGGTTGACAGCACACTTAGCTGATGGACCAAACTTACGAAGGTTTTTCTTCTTAGTGTAGTTACCTGAATACAGACGTAGCCGCTAAGAAGAAAAACATTCATAAGTACATTCGTGAATCTGGCCCCAGAGGGGTTAAGTATGCCACTTGGTAGCCAGTTTTTTTTTTTAAATCTTTTAGCAGTTACTTGCTTGGTGAGAAGAGGACAGTGTGTGTTGAAAAGGCTTAGAGTTTTTGAGACAAGGATGATGGCTAATGAATTTATATCCTGTGTATTATTGAATTCAGATTCAAAATTTATATTGTGAAAGCATTTATGAGGTTCCCTATTGCTGTTTTGCTGTGTAGTCTGAGGGTAATTTTTTGGTATCTGAAGGTGTTGTGTACATGCTTATTGTGAGGAAGTAGGATAGTGATCGGTTGTTAAGAAATCAGTTGATAATAATTTGTAACACGTTGATATATTTTTTTCAGCTCCAGTGGCTATGTGTGTACAGTGCTCTATCGGAGAGATGGACATATAATTGAAATGCAGCAGGGTAAGCTATTCTCTTACTTTATTGATTTTTATTGCTAAATGTATTATACTCTAGCAATTTATTAGTACATGTATTATATTCCATTGATATTTATTGCTACACAAATTAATAATTCGGGGGGGGGGGCCATAATGAATGCCAGTTTTTACAAACACCTGCCTGTAAAGGCCTCCTGAGTCCCGGTTTTTCCACCTCAATCCATTATATACAGTATGTGTAAATGAATCAAAATGTTCACATGACCCAATAGTGTCCTGCCACATCCCACACTGCCCCAGTCAGCAGTATCACAATCCTTCGCATAAATCACTAATCCTCTTTACTTTCAACATTCTAACAGAGCAAGGTAATTTCACGTGAAATTGCTGGTGCAATGTGCGTGTCAGCTGTAGAGTTGTTCTCTTGTTGTTTTCCTTGATGAATGCCATCCCTACCTGTAGGCAAATCTCTACAAAATTCTTATGTTTATCGTTTCATCTATTTCCCTGCCTTTGTTTTTGAGTAGTAGGCATTCTCAGTTAAGCATTCAAAGTCAGTTAGGCATTCACAGTCAGTCAGGTTTGACTGACTGTTGACTGAAAATTTTTGAAAGATGAGATCTTTCAAAAGAAGATAGAGAAAAGCTGAAACTGAACCTCGCCGAGGCAAAACATTTAAATGAGAGCAGGAATGAAGAAGAAATCAATTCTTTTTTCTACAAAGTGATAGGGGTAGGCAGGCCAGTAAAGTGGTACATAAAGGCAAACCAACAAATCAATAGAGAAAGGCGGAGTGAAAAATAAGAAGAGGGGGAACAAGTTCCTCAAGATTGCATACACCAACATAGATGGAGTAAGATCAAAGATATTGGAGTTAAGTGATATAATACAGCTGCAGACACCAGACATTGTTGCACTCACGGAGACAAAACTTGAAGATGCTATTTTAAATGAGGTCATATTCCCAAGGGGCTACTCATTTTGGAGACGGGACAGAAAAATCAGGAAAGGCGGTGGCGTTGCTGTGCTGGTGAAAGAACACCTAAAGGTGAACGAAATAGTGACTGCCAATCCACAAGAAGTTGACATAATAGCACTAGAGATCTGCCATGAAGATGATAAACTAATGATCATAAATGCATATAGTCCACCGTTAAGCAGCACATGGTCAAAGGAGGAGCTAGATAGTAAACGAGAAGGTCTTATAACAATAATGAGAGAGATCATAGCGAGAGCGGATAACGATAGTTCACGACTGTAGATAGTCGGCGACTTCAACTTGAAATCCATAGACTGGGAAGCATGTGAAGCTAAAACAGAAGATTTCTGGACCTGTAAATTTGTAGACCTCATCCTGGAAACATTCTTGTATCAACATGTTAACCCTCAAACTGCGCATATCATATATAAATGATATCAGTGACAAAACCGAAACCGCGCACATCATTTATATATGATTTCGTGTCTAGCGCTATAATTTAAATGCCCCGCCTGGGATAGTGGCAGCTATAGTACAGCCACGACCGATAGTTGCCAGATGCCACCTAGAAAAAAAATCCAGGCCAACATTCTTGGGTGTTACAGCATCAGTATTGAGCAAGCCACCAAGGCTGGCGCACGCAGCACGAGCTCACAGCACCGCTGTTCAGCTTGTGACCACAGCATCGCCTACAAATACCATAATATAAATGATACTGCTATTATTTAGCAGTGATAGTATTACTGAAGCCCCCTGACTGTGATAAAACTGACCAGGATTCAGATAATAACAGGATTGTGGTGATATTTAGCTCTGTGCTCCATGGAGGGAGGAGTAAGGCTGTGGGAGGGAGGGTTGTGGCATCGTTTTCTGACTGTGTGTGGTCACCATTTATTGACTGCACTCACCATACCAGCTTAGTGGTTCGCCATGGTGAACACAAATGTAGATACAGAGCACCACTTGGTTTCCGAACCCCTTGGGGACGAGACCCGTCGGTTAACATGTAAGTTCGTATACGAGAAATAGAGGGGAAAAAATAAACTAGAAATGTAAAAAGAAATTTTTCCGAAAAAATTACAAAAAAACTCTAGGGGAAAAAATCGACAGGTTCATAGCGTAAATGCGACCGTGTTTTGTTTGTACTCACCAATAAGTGAAGTCCTGATCAGCTTTATAAAAGTCCTTAATTGTTCCTAACTGATTATTAAGACGTCTGGCAAACATCCTCTGGATGTTTCCTGCCAGCCTGCCTGCCAGCCTGCAGGAACATCCTGCCAGCCTGCAGGAACATCCTGCCAGCTTGCCTGCCAGCCTGCAGGAACATCCTGCCAGCTTGCCTGCCAGCCTGCAGGAACATCCTGCCAGCTTGCCTGCCAGCCTGCAGGAACATCCTGCCAGCCTGCCTGCCAGCTTGCCTGCCAGCCTGCAGGAACATCCTGCCAGCCTGCCTGCCAGCTTGCCTGCCAGTCTGCAGGATCATCCTGCCAGCCTGCCTGCCAGCCTGCAGGAACATCCTGCCAGCCTGCAGGCACATCCTGCCAGCCCGTAGGCACATCCTGCCAGCCTGCAGGCACATCCTGCCAGCCTGCAGGCACATCCTGCCAGCCTGCAGGCACATCCTGCCCGCCTGCAGGCACATCCTGCCTAAAATATACGATGATGTACTGTACATTTAAGAAACAAATCTGGGTCACAGGTCTGTGGAGTGTGGTTAGGCTTACGGAGTCAGCCGGTCCCTCCCCCACCACCGATACACCTCCCCTTCTCCCCCCACCCCAAACCCATACACACACACTCTCAAAGGTCACGTGGTTCATGGTTCACTTCAACACCCATATATCGCTTCCTGCCTGCCTGCCTCCTTCCCAGCCTGCAAGCCTGCCTGCCTGACTGCCTCCTTCCCAGCCTGCAAGCCTGCCTGCCTGCCTCCTTCCCAGCCTGCAAGCCTGCCTGCCTGCCTGCCTGCCTCCTTCCCAGCCTGCAAGCCTGCCTGCCTGCCTGCCTCCTTCCCAGCCTGCAAGCCTGCCTGCCTCCTTCCCAGCCTGCAAGCCTGCCTGCCTGCCTGCCTGCCTCCTTCCCAGCCTGCAAGCCTGCCTGCCTGCCTCCTTCCCAGCCTGCAAGCCTGCCTGCCTGCCTCCTTCCCAGCCTGCAAGCCTGCCTGCCTGCCTCCTTCCCAGCCTGCAAGCCTGCCTGCCTGCCTCCTTCCCAGCCTGCAAGCCTGCCTGCCTGCCTGCCTGCCTGCCTCCTTCCCAGCCTGCAAGCCTGCCTGCCTGCCTGCCTGCCTCCTTCCCAGCCTGCAAGCCTGCCTGCCTGCCTGCCTCCTTCCCAGCCTGCAAGCCTGCCTGCCTGCCTGCCTCCTTCCCAGCCTGCAAGCCTGCCTGCCTGCCTGCCTCCTTCCCAGCCTGCAAGCCTGCCTGCCTCCTTCCCAGCCTGCAAGCCTGCCTGCCTGCCTGCCTCCTTCCCAGCCTGCAAGCCTGCCTGCCTGCAAGCCTGCCTGCCTGCAAGCCTGCCTGCCTGCCTCCTTCCCAGCCTGCCAGCCTGCTTCCTTCCCAGCCTGCAAGCCTGCCTGCCTCCTTCCCAGCCTGCCAGCCTGCTTCCTTTCCAGCCAGCCTGCCTCCCTCCCTGCCATCATGCTAACGGGTAGTGTGTGTTAGGCTTATCTTCGGGAATGAGCCGGTCTCATCCCCACCACCAACAAACCACCCGCCCCCCTACATCCCATCTCTCAAGGTCACGCGGTTGAACCGCGTGACTACCACTCACCACTCACTCCCTGCCTGCCTGTGCCTGCCTGCCTGTGCCTGCCAGCCTGCCTTTCCCTCCCTAATTCTCACTACTTCCATCCCTTCCTGCCTACCCCCTAGCATCTCTCCCTACCTCCCCCTCTCTCTTAGCATCTCTCCCTACCTCCTAACATCTCTCCCTACCTCCCCCTCCCTCCTAGCATCTCTCTCTTCCCCTCTCTCACTGATTCTCCCCCCCCCCCTTATATTTCTTGATTGTGCAGATATGTAAAACAAAAGCACAGAATGAACATTCCAGCCTTATGGCAATTCAAAATAATAGGAATAATAGGCCGTGAATCTGTGAAGTCACAGCAGGCAAACTGGACCATCTCCCACCCACCACAACAAGCCGGCGTGACGCTTGGCGGACCCCTTCCTACCCGAACTTTGTTCGGGTAGCATGACTCCCCAACCCCAATCGGGAAACTGGAAGTTTCGGATAACTAAAGTTCGGAAACCAAGTGGTTCTCTGTACTTATATATAATGTGTGTATAGTGTGAGATAACAGCGAGAGGAGTAGGTTGGGAGCCGCCATTTTGGTGAGGGAGGAGCGTCGTCTGCACGACTTGGCATGTTGTTTACTGATGGCCACTATGATCTTTGGGCACCATACCAGCTTACTTGTTCAGGTATGGTGAATAAAACAGGTAGATACATATATATAATGTGTGTATATAGCGTAATAACACCACAAACAATATTGTTGGAGGACAAATATTAGTGCGTCTGGCCTTGAGGTCAGCTGCCGATTAGCTGACTGTGTGAGTAGCTACGTCTTATGGCCTTTACTCACCATACAAGCTTAGATGTACAGTTATGGTGAACAAAACATGTAAATATGTATATATAACGTCTGTGTATAGTGAATAAATACAGAAAGAGTATTGTGGGAGGTAAATGAGGGCGAGTGAGGTGGTGTTGAGGGAGTGAGTGACTCGCTGGTGTTTGGCGGTCACTCCTTGTTGCTTTTTGACTCACAAGACCAACTTAGTAGTTCGTTATGGTGTACAAAACATGCAGATACTTATATATAACCTGTGTATATAGTGTAACAACAGCAAAACTATTTGTTTATTGTTTTATGAACATAATAATTGAATCACTAATATGCACACCATAATTTTGAGTACAGCGATGGTTCACACATTTTATAATATAAATATACCACAATTCACTGTATGGAATAATATTACTGCAAAAAAACTAAGAAAAAATCAATCAGAGACATTGAAATAATTAGGTAATAATATATT